AGCCTTACTAGCCCCTTGCCTCAAAGTACTCAAGTCAAGGTCTCTAAAACTGCTATTAATAATTGTGCAAGAGTAATTAAGAAACGCATGGGGTTAATACTGACTTTTCAAAATTTTTCATATTAGAAGCGTGATTATTGATCATAAGGTGAGGCTTGTGTAATTTTGGAAAAAAACAAGCTACTCACAAATCCCAACTTGAGGATTCTTTAAGTCTGGTTTCTCAGTCTCGGCACTATTGATACTTTGGGTGGGGAAATTGTGTGTGGCTGTCTGTGCACATAGGATGTTTAGCAGAATCCCTAGTATTGATGTTCTTTGTGAACGGTGACGCTGAAATGAGCTTGGCGTGCAGGATTAAGTTTAGAGAAGCAGAGGGCTACCGCTCGCTCAGGCGTGTAGCAAAGCCCCCAAAGCTCTCATGGCTTTTATTTGGGGAGTACAGCAAATAACAATGGAGTACAGCAAGTGACAATGATTAACAGGCATGCTTATGAGATCATCAGAGCTAAGTTATACATTACACTATTAATTTCCTATGTTATACAAAGACTATTTCCACCTGCAGCAGTGCACCCTCCCTGGCTTTCCATGCCCTCATGGACTATTTATCACCTCAAGGAAAGTTCTGCCTCTGAACAATAAGTCTTGCGTGCAAGACTTTGTTCTGACGTGGCCCGCTTGCAGGCTCCCGCCTTTTCCTGGCAGAACGTCCTCTTCTAGTTAACTTCATTCCGCTTGACCGCTACACCTGGCCTCTACCCACTAGATGCCAGGAGCATCCCCCAGTCATGACAATGTCTCTAGACATTGCCAAATATCCTTTGGGAGCAAAATCACTCCAAGTTGACAGACACTTCTGTAAAGATTTTAAAAGACAGCTTGATCCTTATGCAAGAACAGCAGTAAGGAATTGTTCTATACATTTTTTTTTTTCAGAACCATGTAATCAACCAGCAGAAAGATTTGATTTTGGTAAATAGATTGCTGGCTCACCTTCCAGTGTTAAATGTATAGCAGGGTAGTAATACTGATGTATTAACTATGACTCACTTTAATTGATTACCAGAAATAATAAGGTCTTCCAAGGCCCTACCAGTCAGTCAAAATTATTAGTAGATAATAAACCTGCCCTCATGGAAAAGGGATGAAGCAATGCAGGCCACAAGTTAAGGCTCCAAAGACCATTCTGAGGGTGTATAATGGGAATAATAGTACCCACTTCTTGCACTTGTTAGGATTAAGTGTGATAACATCTGCAAAGCATTTAGCATGGAGCCTGGCACTATTATCAATAAAATAGAGGCCTGGTGCACGAAATTTGTGCACTCGGGGAGGTGGTCCCTCAGCCTGGCCTGCATCCTCTCACAGTCCTGGAGCTCTCGGGGGATCTCCAACTGATCGCAGTTGGACATCCTTAGCGCTGCCATGGAAGCAGGAGAGGCTCCTGTCACTGCTGCTGTGTTTGCCAGCCATGAGCCCGGCTTCTCACTGAGCACACTGACCACCAGGGAAGGCTTCTGCATTGAGCAGGATCGGGTCGAAACCAGCTCTCCAACATCCCCCGAGGGGTCCTGGATTGCGAGAGGGCACAGGCCAGGCTGAAAGACCTCACCGGTGCATGATTGGGCTGGGGAGGGATGCGGGAGGGCTTCAGGGCGTGTCTGGCCAGTCTTGCTCAGTCTTGAATGGCTGGACCCCAGCAGCAAGCTAACCTACCAATCAAAGTGTCTGCCCTCTGGTGGTCAGTGCACATCATAGCAACTGGTCGACTGGTTGACTATCTGCCTCTGGTGGTCAGTGCATGTCATAGTGAGCGGTAGAGCGGCCTTAGCATATCATTAGCATATTATGCTTTGATTGGTTGAATGGACGACTGGACGACTGGACACTTAGCATATTAGGCTTTTATTATATAGGATATGCAAATAAAGTGTCATAGGAACACGATATTAGCTACCATACTTATTTCCAAATTACCTAAAGTATATGTTTCTAAATTAGTCTGAACTGCTGGATAAAACAAGGGCAATCCAAACCCTAGCCCAGCCGTGGGCAAACTACAGCCCGCGGGCTGGATCCGGCCCGTTTGAAATGAATAAAACTAAAAAAAAATAAGACCGTAGCCTTTTATGTAATGATGTTCACTTTGAATTTATATTAGTTCACACAAACACTCCATCCATGCTTTTGTTCCGGCCCTCCGGTCCAGTTTAAGAACCCATTGTGGCCCTCGAGTCAAAAAGTTTGCCCACCCCTGCCCTAGCCTGAGGTGCATTTGAGCCAGTACCACTTGCCTGATATCCACTGGCAGGATCCCCAAATCTATTCCAGTGTTTGATTTGTAGTTCTATACAGCCAGCCCTGGGAGTCCCCTTCCAAATGACCACACTGAAGCAAAAGAGAGGAAGAGGGAGAGGGAAGGGAGGTGGAAGTGGAGAGCTTTTCCTGCTTCACTGAAGCCCACCCAGGCACACAATGGTGCTGTGTATCTCCCTAGGGGAGCCTACACCCCAGGATTAAGGGAAGTGTCATTGTGCCCTGTTGCCCTTGTTTCTCTCAGACTGGAATATGCAGGAGCCATCAAGGGGGTGAGGTGCCTAAGGCCCTCACCACCAGTTACAGTGCAGGATGATGGGCTCTGCCCCCTGTGACCCATCATTCTGGCCCTGAAATCTCTTTTCCAAGGATATTAGTTTTCATGAAAGAGGAAAAAATGAGCCCAATGTGGTTTGTCCCAGTGTGAGTAATCTAGAAAAAATTTTAAAAATTGGGCGGGTTATTAAGATTACAAAGTAGATTGATCTCACCTTTGTGAGACCCTGAAAGTGGTCCAGCATTCAAAAACGATACTTCCGTTTAGCACTGGCTGGTGGGGCTCAGTTGGTTGAGAGTTGTCCCCTGTACCAAAAGGTTGCTGGTTCCATTCCCTGTCAGTGCACATACCTGGGTTGCTGTCTCAATCCCCAGTAGGGGGTATGCAGGAGGCAGATGGTCAATGTTTCTCTCCCTCTAAAATCAATTTAAAAAACGCATGTTTAGAAAACCTAAAAGAAACTATATTTCCCTTTATTTGGTACTTCCTCATTTATAGTTTTTTTCATTCTTTTTTCCCTTGTTATCCATTTTGTCTCAAGGTTCATTGCTATTACTTGTGACTTGGAAGAGAAAGATTTATAGAAGTCAAAGTTTAGGACTATATTGGTGGTAGCATTGGGTGTGTTAATAAATCTGCATCTGGGTGATTCTATGAGATCAAAGTTTGGTCCTGGAGTCACTGAAAGTTTGCATCCCAGCTTCACGTATGAGCAGTGGAACCTTAGCTAAGTGAGGACTTCTTTCATGCCTCATCTATGTAATGGGGATAATAGTACCCACTTCTTGGAGCTGTTAGAATTAAGTATGACAGCATCTGCAAAGCATTTAGCATGGTGCTTGGCACTATTATTAATAAATATGCAAATAAAAAGTGTCATAGGAACATGATGCTCATACCATTCAACATAGCCCTCAGCCCCAAGAGTTGCCAGTGGGATTTCAGAACATCCATGAGAGTCACTGGGCATCATTGGCAGACCTAAGGAGAAGGGTTAAGTAGGGGCTGGAATGAGAAATGATTATAAGATGGATAGAAAACAGAGGCACAGACAGGTAGAATTCTGTAGAACAGTGCTAACTCCCCAAATATTGAGCCAGGTGCTATCCTATATAATAAAAGCCTAATATGCAAATTGTTCCCTCCACGGGGAATTTGACCAGGAGTTTGACCGGGGGTGGGGCCGGCGGCAGCGGCAGGCAGCGGGGGAAGGGAGGTGCTCCCAGCCGGCAGCCGCTAGGGACCCTACCTGTGCATGAATTTTGTGCACTGGTCCTCTAGTGCATTCTATAAGAAAAAGATGGTCTCTGCCGTCAAGGGCTTGTAGTCTTTTGAGTGAGACAGTCAAGTGAATAGAGTGAGATAAATTGTGACGGAGAGGGTACAAACTGAACTACCAAGTGAAACAGAGACAGACTCTTAGATAGAAAGCAGTTCTGGCGGAGGTGGGGGAGGGTTAAAAAAAAAGAACTCATGAACATGGACAGCAGTGTGGTGATTATGGGGTAGGGAGGTAGAGAGCATAGATAGGAAAGGAGAGGGAGGAACATCAATTGGTTGCCTCCTGTATGGGCTCTGGGCTCTGAGCAGGAATCGAACCCAGGACTCTTTGGTGCACAGGATGACTGCTCTAACCATGGACCAACACAGGCCAGGCAGCTGTTGTGATTTTTTTTATTTATTTGACAATCTAAGGGGAAAGTGGTCAGTGCCCCTGACTCAATAGTCAGGTGCTGCATGTTTTAAAAATTCTTGCAGCACACCGGTTGAAAATCACTGCCCTACAGTAAGACACCTTACAGATAGAGAAGAAAAGAGAAAGCTCTTAAGTTCAGTGAAAAGTTCTTGCAGTCGACAAGAATTGTAGTGTCTCTGCAGGGCACACTGATAGGTGTGGGACCAGGCTCCATCCGGAGGAAGGCAAAGTGCAAGACAACGTTTAGGACAGGGGGTTCTAAACTTGTTAGTCCTGGGCCTCCGCAGGTCTAGGGAGACTCCACGGGCGCCGGGGTCCCATGTGCGTTTCTCTTGGGACTGAGGCTAGAGAAGTCACTCCCAAGCGGACGTCTCCAGAAGAGCGACGCCCTGCCCTAAGGTCTCGTCCACGGCCACACTGTCACTGCTGGGAAAAACCACAGGTCAGGTCGAACACCCCCGCCTCCCAGGCAGGAGAAGGCAGAAAAACCTGTAGGATTCTCCCAAGCGCAGTTACTCGCAGGCTACAAAGCTGGCATGTGCACGCCCGTCGCGGAGCATTGTGGGGCTGGTAGTCCAGGCCAGGGCGCTGGCGTCAGGCTACGGGATCCACAGAACTACATTTCCCAGGAAGGACCGCGACGGGGGCGAGCGGTGTGCTTGAAGACCAGACTCCGCGAAGTACCCGGGGCGGGACCGTTGGCGGAGGCTGGGTCCTAGCATCAGGGTGCAGCGCCCTGTGCTCTTCTGCACCCTCTATGGGCGGGTCCCGGCTCCACTACCGTGGCGGTGGGGGCGCGGCCTCTGGAAGAGGCGGGAACAGTTGGGATGTCCTGGGTTCTCACCTGGTTCGCAGACCGGGACCCCGGCATGGAAGCCAACCGCGTCTTCCCGGCCCCTCCGCGATGTGCAAGGTGAGGAGGCCGAGAAGGTTGCAGCCACGCGGCGGGGGAGATTCACGTGAGGGTGAGCAACTCCGGGCTGGGCGATGGGCTCGTGGTGGGCTCCGCCGGGGCGCCCTGGTGTCTGGAGGGGCGCGGGCTGCGTGAGAGGGGAGAGTGCGAACATTTTCCCTGCTTTACCTTTCTGCTCCGTCAAGGCCGTTTTGATTTGGGAGCTACTTGGGGCCAGCTTTCTAAAGACCCTGGTCTGCTCCACAATAGTTGCAATGTGGGTGGGGCCAGGTGGTGTGTCTGAAGTTGAGTGGGGCTGGAAGGGACTTGCCCCCTGGTCTCCTTACCAACAAAGGGAAACTGGTGAATTCTGGGCTGCAGAGAGGTCTTCTCTTTACTTTCCTGGGAAGCCGGTGGAGAGTTGGCTTTGAAAACTGCTTTGAAATTTCACTCCAAATAGTTTTAGCTTGGCGCGCCCGCTCCTGGGTGTACTCGCCCGAGGGCCGGGGAGAGAGTCAGAGGGGAAGACCTGAGCTCTCGATGGCCCCGTGGGCACCCCGAGATGTTCAGCTGCTAGTGGGGAGATCGTGGCCCCACTTGTTTGTTAAACGGAGAGTGTGATGCTGCTAGTGGAGTCTTTTGACCTGAGTGGATTTGCTGTTGCCAATCAAGTTAATGATCTTAATTATAGTATTTTGGGAGCCAAGTGGGGTATCTCTGCCCTTAGGTGGAGTTTCTTTGGCTTTATTGGCTTTTTGTCTTTCTTTTCTACTTTAAAAAAAAAAGGTATCCTCTAATGATAATTCTTTGTATTTGATAATGCATTAGCTTACCAAGTTATTTTGCATAGATAGATGATGTTGATCCCTACAGACTGGATAAGTGGGAGGGGCCAGTGTGTTAAAGTGGCTCAGTATGTTCTGTAGAAGGAATAGTCAAGGATCCTCCAGAACCGTAGCCAAGTGACTCTTGTTCCTACCCTTCCACCTGTTCCAGGGCTACCCTGTCCTGGTGTCACGTATTCCAAGTCTGATTAGCAATAGGATTTTCTATGGGAATTCACAGAGTTAATGTAAAATGTTTAATCTGGCTCTACTTTTAGGATTCAGTGCCTCAGATGAAAAATTGGGACAATAAGCTGAGATTTCAAAATACCTGGATAAAGTGGATAGCTAATGGACAAGTAAAATAAAGAAAAGGACCATATCTTAGTATTCGTATTAACCTGTTTACAGTAATATTTAGTGCGCATGTCTCCCTGACCTTTGTTTTATAATTATGTATTTGCTTAAGTAAAAATCTGCAAGCCCTCCCCTCAGGCTAAAGCCCCAAACCATCCGATTCCAGCTACATTATTCCAAGAAGTTACCAGGTGATCCTGTGGAGATCTCCATTGGCTTTTTAGGGTTACCAATCTCAGTGGCACCCATTTTCCCTACCAACATTCTTTCCTGAGAAGCCAACACTACTTGAATTTTGCATTTTCTGTTCTTCAAAATTGATTTATTCATTGAATTTGTTTGCCAGGTATTGAGTGCTCAGCAGTGTCAGACAGTTGGCAGGGTCACCAGAAACGTGGCTAGAGCGGGGAGGAGGAGAGTCTGGTCCCAGATACTTTCCAAGTGGGATAACTAATTAAAATCCACACATTTATTGAACATATATATCTATGTACTTAATTGCTCTCTCGAAGGGGGTATCCCTTGCTCCATCTAAGGCCATGTTGTCCTCTAGCACTTTGTGAGTTGGATTCCTTTACTCACTTGTGTAAGATTATCGGGGTAGGTTATGTGCTAAGTCTTGTTGGTTCCACCTTTGGAATGTTCTTAGAGCTGACCCTTCCCTTTTACTGCCAGCTTGCCCCGTTTAGGCTCTGCCCAGGGCCAGATGACAGCAGTTGCCCTTATCTTGTCCCTCTGTCTGCATCCTAAGTGGTGCATTATTGTCTTCTGAAGATCTCATCTGCTCTTGTGACAGTGGCCCTCACATGCCTTTATCCTGACCTACATGTGACACATCAGGAGCATTGATTGTAAACTAGTTACTCAGCCAGGTGGGGAGGATCCATTGACAAGAGACTGGTGTTTGTCCTCAATTCCACCATCTTGCTTCCTTCTATGTTCCCTTCTCCCCTTGTACCAGAACATTGAAAAAGTCAGACTACTGGCATATAGTGTGTTTTAACATCATTACACTTGACCTAACCTAGAATGCTCTTCCTTGTCCTCTATCTCATGTATCTCCTTCAGGATTTGCTTCAAAGGCCATTTCTTCCTTTCAAGTTTTCCTTAGCCTTATAAGGGGAGGGTGAATCCTCTTTGATTTTGTAGCATTTTATACCTCTTAGGCGCCTTATGCAGGTGTTTATGTTCTGGTCGTCTCTGTGTTTGTGTCTCCCAGCCCTAAAAAATCTTGATTTGACATATAGGATATTTTGTAAAATGAGCCTTTCAAAATTAGATGGCTGTATGTCCTCACTAGACATTCTTAAGACATTTCAAAGACATTAATATGCGCGTGCACACGCGCGCGCACACACACACACACACACACACTCACTCACGCTGAAAACAGCCATGATGATAAAAAGAATGCACAAAAGCATAATCTATCATTTTGGCAGGCTAAGAAACTTTGTTTAATATGTTTGAAGTGCCACGTAAGAATGAAGAAATCATCAGTGAAGTAAATAATTATATTGGAAGACAGTATTTATCTAGCGCACTTTGTTAATATTTGCAAACATTAGCTGTCTGCTATGGAAGCTTCCTATACTTATTTGAATAGATATATTCCATCAAACATGAATATAAAGGTTTCTTATATGCATTAATTTCTGTCTGGCTTTCATTAAAATTGTAGATAAATTATTTTGTTTTTAAAAATTCATTTCTACACATAATAAAATCACTTTAAACAATATAATGAACTTGAACACATTTGTAGAAAAATAATCTTTGATATATTAGCATAATATCACGCTACATTTATGTATTCTGTTATCATTTTCCAAACATATTTTCTTACGTCGTTTCATGTTTCTCATGCACTGTCATGAAATAAAGAGTGTAGATATTAATAGTCCCACTTTTAAAAATGAGGAAATTAGGCTTAGAGAAGTTAGAGGACTTGTCAAAGTTCTTATTGATTAAAAATGGCAACATTAGTAGGACTCAATAATAAAGGTAGATATATTTTGACAATTTATCAGGCATTATGGGAGACAAAATTTATCTTCAATGTTGTTACCCTTAAGGGTTTTTTTTTTTGTGACCAAGTTGGAGGAACAGACATAGATACAACTATATATAAGTCATAGTTATTTACAGTGATGTGTAAGGACAAAAAGTTATATAATGAATGATTAGTTCTAACAGGAAATTGGGGAAGAATAAGTGAAAGTACTGATAATAGTTAAACTTGACATTAAAGGATGATGTTGCCCCCTTTTCTTATAATTTCCTAGACATTTTGCTTGTAGATTTTCCCACTGATCAGAAATGTGCATCCCAAGTGTATGTTTTTCTAAGGTTCTCACCTCCAGAAAAAAAGCTATGTCTGTATTTCTCACATCTTTTTCCACTGATCAGTATTCTCATTCAGATGATTGGTGGGTTTTTTTGTTTGTTTGTTTTTTAGTAAGAAAGCATATTCTTGCCCTAGAGCCGTGGTCGGCAAACTGCGGCTCGTGAGCCACATGCGGCTCTTTGGCCCCCTTAGTGTGGCTCTTCCTAAGCCTTAGGAGTACCCTAATTAAGTTAATAACAATGTACCTACCTATATAGTTTAAGTTTAAAAAATTTGGCTCTCAAAAGAAATTTCAATCGTTGTACTGTTGATATTTGGCTCTGTTGACTAATGAGTTTGCCGACCACTGGCCTAGTCAAAGTGTGATCTGTGTTGGACTTGTTGGGTTCCCCAAGATAGAAATCAATAGAAAACCCCATAGAAATTTCCAGACAGATTTTATTAAGCTTAGTAGAGGCCCAGTGCACAAAAATTTGTGCACTCGGGTGGGTCCCTCAGCCCGGCCTGTGCCCTCTCGCAGTCTGGGGCCCCTTGGGGGCCCCTTTCCCTGGCTGCTGGCACCAGTTTTCCTCCGGCACCTGGAACCCAGGCCTTCGCTCTTCGCCGGGAGGGGCCGGCGTGGCGGGCTTTGCTCTTCACTTTTCGCTGGCCGCTCCGGCCCCGGGGACGGGGCCAGCACAGCAGGCTTCCCTCTTTGCTCTTCGCTCGCCACGCCGGCCTTCGCTCACTGCTCCTGCCTGGGGCCAGCCGGCTTCGCTCTGTCGCTTGGCGCTTACATATGCAAATTAGCCACCATCTTTGTCGGCGGTTAATTTGCATATCGCCCTGATTAGCCAATGGGAAGCGTAGCGAAGGTACGGACAATTACCCTTTTTGTCTTTTATTAGATGGGATGCTTGAGCACAAAGGAGGCAACACAGAGGAAAGGATGTTCCTCTGAACCACCTCTGGGGCTGGTTCTGCTTGGCTGCTTTTGTAAGCTGGGAATAAATTGGACTTTCTTGAAAAGTGGGTCCTTTGGGGAAAGGCGGGCTTTTTGAAAAAGACAGGCTTGTGGAATTTTTCATTCCAGGCTTGGGTGACTTCCTTTTCCAGCTTTGTTGCCTGGTAATTACATTGGCTCCTGAGCTGTGGGGGGAAAATGACCCACTGTTCATTATCGCCAAGGGAAGGACAAATAGTGGTCAAACCTTGATTAACTGTGCATGTGGGTCAGTAGTTCAAGCAGACAGTTAGAGGGGAGGTAAATCAGCTACCTCTGTGTTTTTGAGTAGGGAGTGGAGTGGAGGGGTGGTGACATTTTGGGGTCCCGTATTCCTTTTGGTCATCTGGCACTCTTGGAGTCCTGGGCCCAGTCCCCTATGCTTTCTCAAAGGCAAAGACTCCTAGAGGAAAGGACAAATAGTGGTCAAACCTTGATTAACTGTGTATGTGGGTCAGTAGTTCAAGCAGACAGTTAGAGGGGAGGTAAATCAGCTACCTCTGTGTTTTTGAGTAGGGAGTGGAGTGGAGGGGTGGTGACATTTTGGGGTCCAGTATTCCTTTTGGTCATCTGGCACCCTTGGAGTCCTGGGCCCAGTCCCCTATGCTTTCTCAAAGGCAAAGGCACACACTCCTAGAGGGTCAGATAATACAGTACCTACAGGCTCCAGCATGACATTGAATGGACATCCCGTAATCTCTTTTGCTCATTTCTAAGTCTTAAGTTTTTCTTACAGTGTTGAATTGGTTTCTAAAATGGGTTTAATGGGCCTTGAGATCACAAGGGGTTGTTGTGAGATGTGACTTATAACATTTACAAATCTTCTTGGAAGATGCTTCATAAATGGTAGCTGCTCCTTTGTTTTTTTGCCATTTTGCCTTAGACGCACAAGGGGTTGTTGTGAGATGTGACTTATAACATTTATAAACCTTCTTGGAAGATGCTTCAGAAATGGTAGCTGCTCCTTTGATTTTTTTTTGCCATTTTGCCTTAGACTATCATGATCTGGCCATGGCAGAGCAAGCAGTACTGAATTTGCCCCTTCCCTACACATACTACAAACCACTAGAAAACTGGAAAAAAACATGAAATAACTTTTCCAACATTGATCAATAGGCAGCAAAGGATTATGATCCCTGAAAGAACAGAAACAAACAAGCTGAGTCCTGTGATCATCCTGGCTTTCGAGAGGCACTTTCTGGACCAGGGTACCGGGAGGGAGAACCCAGTCAGAGTGCAGTGAATTTCTTGAGGAGACAGAGGTTAGGATTTGGAGAAGCTGGGGCGGTTGGAATTCATGTAGCAGAGTATCAGAGAAGAGGTAGCTACATAGAGAAAGATTTCTAGAAATCTGCACTGGGTTTGTTTTTACTGAATACCAGTCTGTGCATTTATAGGGTAAAGCTCCTTGAAGCTGCGCTAAGAACTGCCGAGGGTCCAGGGCACACATAGAGTTGGGAGACATTTGAATTCCAACCAACCAGAAAGGAGAGAACTTCTAAAGAGCTGGGATCTTCACTAGAGACTGCGGAAAGGTCAAGCCTTATTAGTAGGACCAAACCAGTCCTTGAGTAATGGCTACTGTAGACCAACTCTAACAATGATTAGAAACAATCTTGAAAGGATCAAGTATCCTCAAGGAATTTAACTGCCACTTAAAGAAAACTCAACACTCTTTAAAAGAAGAGAATAGCCCAGCTCAGCGGTTCTCAACCTGTGGGTCGCCAACCTGTGGGTTGTGACCCCTTTGGGGGTCGAACGACCCTTTCACAGGGGTGGCCTAAGACCATCGGAAAACACATATATAATTACATATTGTTTTTGTGATTAATCACTATGCTTTAATTATGTTCAATTTGTAACAATGAAAATACATCTTGCATATCAGATATTTACATTACGATTCATAACAGTAGCAAAATTACAGTTATGAAGTAGCAACGAAAATAATTTTACGGTTGGAGGTCACCAAGACATGAGGAACTGTATTAAAGGGTGGTGGCATTAGGAAGGTTGAGAACCACTGCCTTAGAGGAAAGTATGTGCAAATCTTTCATTTTGTACAGTTCCTTTCTATCTGCTAGATTGGATGCTGCCGAGTTGGAATCAGTGTTTGCTCAAATTAACTCTTCACATTTTTTAACCTGCTCCATGTATCTTTCAATACGAGGACATGGTGATGTCAGTGTCAGAGGTGAAAGGAGGAGGGCTCTGTGGACAAATTGCCACTGGGCACTGAAATAAAGACCAGCTGTGAGGTTCAGTGGTTCTGTTTCTGTAAAATGGGCACGGTACTTGCCTTGCACCCTGGTTGGTGAGTTAATGTTCATAATAATTCTATAGCTCTAGGAAGCTGGCTGAAGGAATAAAAGACGGTACTATTAAATTTGTTTAATAATAAACAAATCCTCCCCTTTTCAGGCAGAAAGACCAACTGCTGGGAACTGGAAGTAGTTCTCCGATTGTCCATACTGTGCAGTGAATAGGTATGTTCTTGAGCTGTCTCGGGATGTTTTGTGTGGTACAGTGGGTGTGGGTAGGTAGGAGAGGGGGTGGGAGTGGGGCACAGGTTTTGCACTTGGCGGGTTTGTCTCCATCAGTATGGAACTGGGAAGAGGGGCTGCTTGCCTGAGGTCATCTGTGTTCCTTCTCTTCCCTGAGAGGAATTTTTTAGTCTCTAAAGCCACCTTTGGGGGTTACCCTAGCTTTGTTTACTCTGCTTAGCTGGGAGGGAGGAGCCAACTTAGAGTGAGGTCTCTACAGAATTGTAATCCTCATCTGTGTGTGTGTGTGTGTGTGTGTGTGTGTGTGTGTGTGTACTGTGCTCCGCACCCCAAGGCAAGCTCTCTGAAGCCTGTTGGTTTCTCAGGCCAACAAATCAAGGTCAGTGCAGGTTTGACCCTGGAGTGAATGTGAGGTGGCTGGTTCCCACAGGTGTTGACTAATTCTGATTAGGGTGTCTCTGTGCTAAGGAAAGGTGCAGGAATTACTGTTAGAGTGGGAGTGCACTTCTCTTTCCCCCATGTCAGAGTTAGCATTGAGAGTCCTACATCATGTTAACATCATGGTCTCTTGATAGGATGTGTTCTGTCTGGTCTGTCAACCTTTAGTATTGCCCCATTCCAAACTATTCTCTACTCTACCTGCAGCCCGAAAGATATTTGAAAATGTAAATATGACCATGTGTTTTATTTAAAACTGACAGTGGTTTTCTATGGCCTTTAGAAGTAAGTCCAAAATCCTTAGCATATCCCTCCAGGCCCTCCATATGCTGACCTTTGCTTATTTTTCCAGTCTTGTTCCTCCTTCACTCCTTTCTTCTGGTCACACTTTGAGGTCCTCATTGGCATCATACTTTCCTACCACAGCTTAGAGCTGTGTCATGCCTAGTGTCCAGAGTTGCCCTTTGGAATAGTTGGAAGACTGTAGATACTTCTTTTAAACATCTCCCATCTTTCCTTGTCCTCTCTGCTCTCACATTTACCCATTTCTTGCAATACCAAGAAATGATACAACCTTGCCCACATTCAGGAGTTGTAAGTATCTCATTCATTGTGGAAGCTGAGGATTTTAAGCAAGGGAATCCTGATGAAAGTGTCTTTCACAGGAGGGATTTGTTTTTCTTACAAAGTAACAAACCCATAGGTGGGTGGATCTAGGATTGAATTCAGCTGCTCATTCTCTTCACTGTTCACTCATGGTCACAATATAGCTGCCAACAACAGGAAGATGGCACAGCACCCAGCATCAAAGAAAGGAAATAAGTCTTCTCTTTATTATTGTTCTTTTTCTCAGGGAGGAAAATATTGTCTTGGAAATCATCTCTGAGACTCTTTCACAAGCCCATGATCACAGGTGTCCCAACTGTGAGGGACATGGGCAGTTGAGCACCAAACTGCTACTGAAGAAGGCTGCCTCTGCCCACGAGGACAAGGATGAAGACGAGGACGAGTCAGGGAATGGCCAATTGTCTTGGAAATCATCTCTGAGACTCTTTCACAAGCACATGATCACAGGTGTCCCAACTGTGAGGGACGTGGGCAGTTGAGCACCAAACTGCTACTGAAGGAGGCTGCCTCTGCCCACGAGGACGAGGACGAGGATGAGGAGAGTCAGGGAATGGCCGTGGGAAAGTGGTCTTCCTGTTTATACGATGGGCGCTAATGGTCCTGTAAATGTCTTCTGTGTGGACTTGTGGAGGAAAGGTATCCTGACATTCAGGGATGCCTATTTTCAACCTATTTGCTAGTATCTTTAACTACTCTCTCCAATATGATTACCACTAGCTACATAAAACTTTCTAAAATTAAATTTACATGAACTAAAATGAAGTAAAACTTAAAATTCAGTTAGTGTCGACCTTTAGGTTTCCCTTGGTGGATCCCTGGGGAATGTTGGCTTGGTTTATAGACCAGCTGGTTTTCATTCAAACCAAATAGAAATCAAAAGCTAGAAAATGTGTCTCCCCTCAGAGCAAGAGTATTAACATGAGAATGAACGCCTATGGGTATTCAGCCACATGTTTTATGGATCGACATGATGTGAGTTCATCTTACACAGCAAGCTTTCTTTGTGAAATATTGCTACAGATCGCATTCTCATTTTTTTATTTTGGCTTAAAAATTGTTGACATGTTGGGTTTAATTTTAATTATAGGTTGTTTCAGTTGTGTCAGTGAACCGTGGCCCTTCAGGTAGGACTAGGAAGGTTTTCCTTGTTTTCATACCATCCTGTCCCAGTGCAACCATTGCCTATTCCTCAGTTGAATTTGACCGGTATGTTCAATTCTGGGCTCAAGAAGGAAACATAAAACGATTAAGTGTTCAGTGGAGAGAGCTCTTTTGCATTATTTCAGTTACAACCAAAGCAATGCTCTTTCTATCCCTAGTGATTTTAAATATTATTAGCCAGCCTAGTGGCTCTCAGTGCTCAGATAGCAAATCAAACTAAACACAGAGGGAAGTAGAATGTAGCTCATTAAGTTAGTTTTGCTTTTGATGAGATCATTTCAAGATCTCAAACAGCAGTGGGGAAAATTTAGAAAGACAATATTGGTGAGATAATTCAAAAACTCTTAAAGTGTCTTCTATATAAATAGTTAGTCTTGAAATATCTGGTAATGAATATATGATCCTCGTACAAAAACCAGAAAACAGACTGAGCAAAAAGGGAAGAGCCAGTCACTTATAGTAGTCCCTCTTGCAAGAGTTCACAAGTGTTGACATTGTGGTGGATACATTTCCAAATTTTATTTCTCTATTTTATCAGTTTATATTTGTTTACTTATCACAAAATTTAAATCTGTTTTAGAAGTGATTTAAAAATGTATCCTTCCATATTTATAATGGTTACACATAATAAATGCACAATTATTATTTATTATGCATATGTATATGAGCAGGTATTGTCTACAGATATTTTTAATCAATAACTTTATTTCTGTTTGTTCCAAAGTATTTCATTTAATGGTATATAATTCATTTAATAGAAACTATTGTTTTTGGCTATTATACATATACTGTTGGGGTGTATTCCTCTTATTTGTCTATATATTTAGGATAATTGCTTAGAATTTTTAAGACAGAAAAAAATAAGGTTCAAAAAGACACCTCCATGACGACTTTGGGTACAGCTTCATGCCTGGCCAGGCCAGGGAGGGGCCTCTGGCTGGACCAGCCGCTGGTCCCTGAGCAGACCCTTCCTCTGGCTCTGGAGTGCTCTGGAGCCCTGGAGGTGGACCTGGAGCAGGAGAAATGGACAGATTCACACACAGACCTGACGTTCCGTGCCTTGCCAAAGACAGGAAAGATGCCACTGCCTATAAGGGCACTGCGGCCCATGAATCTCCCCTCCCCAGATCACCTTCTCAGAATGCGTTCCCCTCACCTTCCAGCATGGCCTTGGTGGGCTCTAGATGCTCCAGCTCCATCCAGAGGAGATGGGCGTGGCCCTCGTGGTGTGGGGCAGGGAAGATGGCCTGCACTGAGGCTTGCTTCAGCTGGAACCAGGGGAAGTGGAGAGCCCGGCCAAAACCCTGCACCTGGTCGGGCCAGGTTCCCACTGTAGAAGCAATGGCTCTGGGGAGAGGTGGGTAGGCAGCGGAGTCAGAATCTTGGTCTTTGCTTACACACAGCCCTCCCAGGGCACCCTTGTTTGGACCAGACCTCTGTGCCTGCCCCTGCCCATCTAGGGGACAGCTCCATGCCAGCCCCGACCCCTTAGTGGCTGTTCTGAGAGCAGTAGGCCTGGTGATTAAGCAACTTTCACACGGCATCTGTGTGAGTCTTTTCTTCCCATTGACAGTTCTGAATGTCCTGGCCCCTGCCCAGCCCAGCCCTCCATACATCTGGGCATCTGCACTGAGGGTTGAGACAGATGTGTGAGCAGGCCATTTTGAGCCTGGTGTTGGTGGTCAGGAGAGATGATTGTGGAGAGGGGCAGGCAGAGCAGGATGGGACTGGGGTGGGTTTGGGTCTCTGGGGGACAATTCAGCCCACCCCTCTTCTTAGGTCCTGTGAGGCTAGGGCCCCATGTGGAGAGGGGCAGGCAGAGCAGGATGGGACTGGGGTAGGTTTGGGTCTCGGGGACAATTCGGCCCACCCCTCTTCTTAGGTCTTGTGAGGCCAGGGGCCCATCCACAGTCCTCTTTGACCCCTGTCCTCCCAGAATAGAAGCCATCAGGGCTCAGGGCTCCCTTGGGAGTGAGAAGATGTGTAAGATTGTGGTTCTGCCAGGCCCTCCCCACCCATTGCCTTCGTCCTGTGGACTCAGGAGGCCCTCCTTCTGGACCCAAAGACCACTCGCTTTTTGACTTGGCCCTGTGGTGTGTCACCCTGGTCATTATGAGGAGGTATGCCTCCAGATGTGGAGAAGACCTTGATGGCATCAGATCTGATGGGTGGGGGACAGGACCTGAGAATGATGGACAGTGTCACTGTCTGATTCACCGAGTGGAACTGGGGCCCAGGGATTGTGTCTCCTTCATTCTCCGAGTTATGCTAAGTGTCTCCAAAAGTGCCTACTTGTGGTAGGTGTTTAATACACATTTTCGAATACATAAACTCCAACGAGAACCATCCCTGATATATGAGTGGGCCTGTGGCCCCCTGCTCTCCCTAGTCTGCCAACACCAACGATGAGGACAGGGATTAGCTAAGTGGATTCCTGAACTCCTTGACTGGTTGTTTTCCACGTGCTGTTGCAAACTCAGAAATGCCACAGGCCAAGGAAAATATAAAAACTAACAGAATAAAATAAAATGAAAAAAAAAGAAATGCCACAGGCCACTGATGGGTCAGGCAGATGACTTTTCATGGGAGACAGATAAATAATGGGCATGAACAACTATAGCCCGTCCAGCAGCCCTTTCAGCAGAGCCAGGCAGCAGGTTGGCACCTGCCATGGCTCATCCCTACAGTGGTCTCTGCAAGAACCTTATGAGGTTTATCCTCTACCCCCTACCCCACTTTTCAGAAGAGCGAGCTGAGGCTCACAGAGATGTGGTGACATTTTTTAAGACACAGAGCTAGCAGTGCTCAGAATCACCACTATGCCCAAGAAGGGGGAGTGTGCTCACCTATTAAACAGCAGGTCCAGGAACTCTTGGGCTCTGGATAAGGCCGGGTGGATGGATATAAACGTGGTGGTGTGGGAGATGTTTCCACCCGGAAGAGCTGGTACCATCGATGCTGCCACCTTCCTCAGTGTGCCTTCCTGTAGGGCCCGCATCCTGTTAGCCTCACTCAGGTTGCATGTTAATTCAGCTGCACACTGGGTGGGTCAAGGAGGGATCTGTCAGTGGCATCCCCATGAATCATGAGGAGGATGAGGTCTGGAGCTCAGGCAGGAACTCTCAGACCCTTAGGGACGTGTCCAGAGGAAGGACAGGAGTGTCCGTACTGAACCAGGTTCTAGGTTTTAAAGGTACCACTTAAGTTTGGTGGACAGGGGATATTTATACAATTGTTACCTTCTAGTCATGTTGTTTTAGCTAAGGAGCAACAGACCTCCTTGTCTAAATAGTCTTTATGAATGAAGACAATTGTTCCAATGAGTTCTCTAGAAACATCTCCGTTATAGAGATGAGAGCCCAGAGGCTTAGGGATGTCAAATGGCAGCTCCAGGGCATGCTGGTCAGAACTGAAAACTGTCCCAAGCTAGGACTGCATGACATTCCCTCTTAGCTGCCTGAGACTTCTCTGCTCCTGACCTGGATGAAAAGGGCCTTGGGAACCTTATCCCTCCAAGTTGGAAGACAGGATACAGGCTAGACCCAGCCTACAAAAACCATTGTCTCCCAAAATGACACTTCTGTTTCTTCCTTTTACATTAAAGGACATTTTTGGACCCTCATTATGGAGATCCCAGATTCAGCCAAGGGGCAAAGGCTTGATGAGTCCAGACTGGAGAAACTTGGAGTGCGAGCACATGACTCAGGAAGTAGCTAATCCATGTGGCTAGTGGAAAGCCGATGGGTGAGTCAAAGTACCCATGAGGCAATTGCCAGTAAAGGAACACTGTGATGGCCTTGAACAACCTGGTCTTGGATTGGTCAAAATTTAAATGAGTGAGAGATCCTTGGGCCAGATTGGGTGCTAGTCAGTGGCCATCATCACAAAACTGATGTTGGCAACATCACTGCTCCAGCCTTTTCCATTTGTAATCAGGCTGCAGCTCCTAAAATGTTACATGTGCACATTCTTCCATCTGGACTGGACGTCTATCTACAGCTGTATATCGATCACAATAGTATATCCATTGTGGTGTGAATTGTATCACCCAAATTCCATGACCTTGGAACTGCTAGAACTTGAGAATGTGCCTGTCCTTGAGTTCTAGTCTCTAAGCAAGCCATTCAGGTAAAGGGAATTCAGTGGTCTTGGTCTTAATCCAATATGACTAGTGTACTTAGAAGAGAAGGGGAGGATATACGGAAGCAAAGAGGGGACTCCTTG